ATAGGTTCAGCCTTGACACCTCAGTACAGCTGGCTCACTACAATATAAAATTGTTTCTAGCATTCAAATATTAGCACTAGCATAGTACTAGCTCTGTAACATTAGTACAGCAATTGTGTCTGAAATTGAAAATTGATACTAGCTTAGACACTTAGTGCTAGCACAGATTTAGCCTTGACACTCTGGTACAGCAGTCAAACTACAATGTAAAAATTGATACTAGCATTAAACTATTAGTATTAGCATAAGTACTAGCCTTAACACCTTAGTAAAGTGATCTTACTACAATTTTACAATTGACACTACCACTAAAATGTTATTACTACCATAGCACTAGCCTTATGACCTTAGTATAGCAATTGTGCTAGTATAGATTCAGCCTTAACACCTTAATACAGCTGGCTCACTACAATACCAAAATTAATTCTAGCATTCAAATATTAGTACTAGCATATATAAGCCTTGACACCTTAGTAGAGCAATTTTACTATAATTTTAAAATTGATACTAGTGTTATAATGTTAGTACTAGCATAGTGCTAGTCTTGACACCTAAGTGCAGCAATTGTATCATAATTTAAAAATTGATACTATCATTAAAAACTTAGTACTACCATAGTACTAGTTCTGTAACATTAGTACAGCAATTGTGCCATCGTTTAAAAATTAGTACTGAGCTCAGACACTTAGTGCTAGCACAAGTTCAGCCTTGATATTCTGGTACAGCAGCTTTACTATAATTTAAATTTGATACTAGCATCATACTCAGTACAATTCATAAAGCTCTAGCTTTGGCTGAGAGAAATGTTTTTCATAATTATTGAGTGTAGTTGAGTCAAACTGATTGAAGAATTGCGTCTTCAATCTGTCATTCATGGCTTGACACAATTGATATTCAACTGTATTCAGAAAGGTATCCACTGCTAGAATATGCAGTGCAGGTGAGTTGTAGTCAATTGCATGCAAAGTGGGGAGCTCAAGTAAGGCCTGCTTCAAATTCTCTATGGCTTTGAGCTGTGATTTATCAAATTCAAACAGAACTCCTTTCTACATAAGCTGAATCAATGAATGTGCTCATTTTGCAAAGGTCTTGATGAAAATTCTCACAAAAGTGATTGTGTGCTCAAGAATGCTCAAATCTCTGACACATCTTTGTACAGTTTTCAGTTTCTAACTGTTCAAACTTGAGACTTATCTGGCAATCTTCCTTCTGGCATGCATCTATGTTCTACTATCATAATGTTTTCATATAGAGTGTTAGCTTTGTGCCTGAAAAGGTTCTGTCTACATACTTCATATGCTATACCACCCTGTTGAGGTTTTAAAAATGTTCCCAGATAAAGTGCTGAATATCACTATTGTCTGCGATCATTTCAAATGTTCTGTCTAGCTTGATGTGTCTAGTTGGTTGCTGAACCATTCAGTGGTATATCATCAACATATGAAACTAGATAGGCAGATATTTCTGCTTGTAAAATGTAAATTACATCATCATGAAAGATAGGGACTAAGTTGATTCACCTATTGGTGGAATAACAAGTCACAATGCTTTACAGGAATTTGAAAAGTTATGAGATAATTATGTGACATCTCTGCTATGAGTCTTTCATCATATCTGACATAAAGGTTTAGCATTGCACTGCATGCTGGACCTCAAACTGCTCTGTCATATATTTTAAAGTCAGAGTGACACCTGAGTGCTGAATCGTGACTATGTTTAGTGGCTCTAGACTACATACCAATGCCTTTGTCAGTTATTGTAGATGATCTTTTTCACACTAATGTTGTGTATTTTACTGATCAACCATATATTAATGTCAACATATATGTGGCACTTTTTCTCTTTCATTTACATTATCTTTAAATTGTCTTAGCTGATCTTAGTTAGAAGTATTTCTGTAATACTCTATTGCAAGGATTATTTTAGATTATCTTCATCACACTCGACAATGTATTTATCTATCACACACTACAGTGACCCACAAAACTGTTGATAAAATTGCTCACTTCAACTTGTGTAGTAAATATCTCTTCAACCAATCTGTCAAATGAGTTAAGTAGGGGTCATTTCAAAGCCTATTATCATGGCTTTCCAAAATAGTCTTGTTCATATTTTTACCATATTCTGATCTGAAAATATTGACTAATCTTTGAGAGCCACTCTTATTAACAGTTTTGTGGCATATACACAAGTGCTCAGAAAATTGTGATTTTTGATGTGTTGACAGGGTAAAATATTGATTGAATGATTATGTTTCAACATGAGCAATGTATCAACAGTCATACACAACTCTTCACGCTCAACCAATATCATGTCAAAGCTGTTGCTACTGAAACTGTCAACTGTCACAGCGACGCTGGACAAGAGATCAAAAGACTAAAAAAGGAACGGTCACGTGGAATGTGCCGCTCTAATCCCCCTGATCCCAAATGTGGCTGAAGAGCCTAACACTCACTAGCTGGGTAGCAAGCATATGGAAAAATGATAGATATATAATGGGGCTTGAAAAGCTTAGTGGTTGACTGGGTGATAGACGAGGAGAAACAATCTGAGTTTTTGTCCTCTTTATGCTGATCTTATATACATGTACAGTGGGCTATCTTACCTAAGCTACCTATTTACGGGTATAAGCTAATGGCTGTACATGAAACAATGGAATGTCTGGAAGTAGAATAATAAGTGAAAAGATCGATGGCTGCCGCAGCAATGTGTGCGAACATCGCGTCTATCTTAGTTTCCCTTTGTTCTCTGGTGTGAACATCATGCCTATCTGGGCTTCTGGCTAAACTAATAGGAAGTGGAAGGCCAATGCTTAACAATAGTTCTTGTTCCCTTTGTTTTCAA